AAGAGTCAATTTACATTTAATATAACATAGAATAACTGGGCTCTCTAATTTCAAGTGCATATTATTTAATAACATTATTTTAAGGGTAAGATACTTATTCCATTGGTAGATGATCTTATTTACCTACTCCAATTAAAGGTAAATACACTTATTTTAGAGATGTTTACGCATAATTACATAGCTTTTGCAGTGTGAATCCATGTTAATAATCCTTTTCAAATAAGAATGGATTATTTACATCTCTCCCTAATATACCAAGTAGCAAAACAGGCCCCAGTTGATCCAAACTGGGACATGTCCCATCAAAGAATATTAGCTTCAGTACGGTCTGTCTGGTCTACCCAAAGGGTTTCACACATTAAACGTTTTAGTTATTTCTGAGAAAGGCAGAATAGATTCAAGCGAGTTAGAAGTTACAGCTTCTCATGTTCCGAAACTTTAGAAAAGAGGAAATCACTGCATTAATTTGTTGCCACTTTACACTTTGTGAGCTAAAATAAAATGCAGAAGTATCACAACGGTATTTAGTTATAAGTTTGAAATTTTCCAACCATCTGTAACACACAGAGTGTCACTTTTTTTTGCATTCTGATAATTCTATAACAAATGTGTTGCAGTGCATAATTACTCACATGGCGACGACTTTCATGGGTTGAATCTTGACTCTCTAAATAAATAAAAGAAAAAAAATGATTATCATTTCTGGGAAAACATTTTTTAATCATCAGACCTAACTTCTGCTTTTTACTGAGCTCCTGATAGCACTACAGGGTTACTCTGGAAACTGTTATTTCTTATTCAGAGGGATGTTCTTCCCCAGATGTCAGACATCAAAGTGAGCTAAAAAAAACATCAGTGGATCTAAGAGCAATTAGTATAGAAGAGGCAGTTTACTTAAAAAATGCTAAAAAAAAAAAAGAAACATAAATTAAATTAATGCAGTTGCCATGTTTAAGGTTTAAATAGGCTGAACTTTGACCTCGGTATTGTTGGGATCTGGAGATTCACCACCTTTCTCCAGCAGAGTGCGCTGTGGGTCTCCTGGGCTGGAGCCTCCAGCACACCTGACACTCATCAGCCCATCAGGAGACCTTCCTACATAAGCAGCAGCCAGACCTTCCTTCAACGACGCAGTGTTGACCTAGTTTGGTTAGCGAATCTGAGCCTCTG